CCTCAAAGCCTTTGAACAACGTCGAATACTCTGAGTCAGAAAAGATGGTGGCACGAATTCTGTCCCTGTAGTGTTGGGTGTGTAACATGTCCTGGGTCAAGCGCTACAAGTTGCGATGCCGTAAAGAATCACAAACACGCTGGCTTTGACCGTCGACCCCACAAGAAAGTAAAACTGACTTGAATTGACTTGACCTTTCCGATGATTGACCAGGACCCATGTCAACGGATTCCAATGGACCAATTCCAATGAACAAAGCCCCCTGCCAGCACCATCGCCAAGTTTCAGTGCAGGCTTTCAAAGAAGACTGGAATTCGTTGAAAGCCTCCAGACGCTCTAGGACATCCCCAATGATATTGTCGATCAGGTGCTTGGGGCCTGGCACCCACAAACAGTTTGGCAGGTGGAAGAGTAGGGGCTCACTGATATCATAGTCATCCGGATCATCCGCTTCCACAAGCTGCAACATTCCTGAGCGTTTTCGGAGCTGCCCCACTGCCAAACCAAAATCCCTTGCCCTGGCCCTGATCAAGATCAAGGTGACGTGACCGACCGAAGTAGAAGAGTACCACAAGTGCATTGGAGATGAATCAATAATCAGAGAAACCAGAGACCCGGTGACCCGATGCAACCAAACACAAAGTCAGGCCAGCTTCCCTTTCAGTCAAATTGATAAAACTAAAACGCAACTGCTGACCTGCTGCGACAAGTTGCCTTTGCTGTGTTGAACTGCTTGCTTCGCCATTCTGTTTACATCAACTTCTGGGACCTTGGTGGTGGTGGTGGTGGTGGTGGTGGTGGTGATGGTGGTGGTAGTACTTCCTAGTGGCAGGAATGAGAAGGACTAGATCTGGGATCTGGCGTGTGTTGTGGTGGTAGGGGTGGTGGTCAATCTACGTTTGGGTTGAACATGTTGCCAATCTGGCCAAAATGCATCCAAGAATTTGGCTTCCGTCCCATAATCTGCGACAAAAGATATGACTCGCCGCCCGTAGTCTCTCATGTTCGGCAGCCCAATGTCCAGCTTCAATGACTCCACAAATGCTTCAAATTTTCCGGGTAAGGCTGAGTTGCCTGCACCTACCAGGCCAGTAGGAAGGGCCGTGGTGCAAAGAAGCCCTGCCGCGTTGAACGTGTTCCAATCAAAGTCCTTTCCCAGTTCCAGAAGCGTGGTGGCATCGTTCATCCTAATGCTATCCTCCAATGTCATCATATAGTCATGGCCACGTTGCATGCTGGAATCTGCGGATAGGAAGTAAAAGCTCGGATTCCCTGCGTTCCGATCTGCAATGTATGTTTGACGCCTGTTGAGCATCAACATCACCTAAGCATCATTAATGTCATCAGTCATTAGTCATCACACCGAACATCAAACCAAGAGTCGTCGTGATGAGTCCGTGGCCAACGCGTTATGATGGTAATCGGAATTGGAACCGTGGTAAGCCGCAGCCGTGGTATTTATATATCCTAGTCCGACGTCCTATTCAATATTCTATCTAAAATTGAACCACGCCACTGCACTTGCCACTGACTGCCTGGACTGCCTCACCATAAATTCGACCCTAACTAGGTTGGTGTGGGATCGCGTGCTCGCTAGTGCTCGCAGAAGGCTGTTTAACCAATCCGTCCTGCTACTGCGTATTCTATTCTATTCCATATGTTTGCTACTTTGCTACTACACTTACTATAGGGCCAAGGAGGATTACCCACGATACTACATGGCACGCGTGGGCTTGCTATGGCTTGCTGGGTTCCCTCAATCCGTCCTCATCCCTCATCTCATCCTCGACAGGATCGCGGAAAGTAGCGCTGAAACAAGTTCCCAGTAATTGCGCTTAAGCGTCGCAGTTGCCGCTTGATGCAGCCGACATACGCTGTCCCTCAGCTTCCCTCATCATCCGATTGCGAATTGAGGGTGGGTGGGTAGTAGTCAGGGTAGAGTGCATCATTCACCTAGCGTTCGAACCGTTAGTTCGGGTCTTATTTTAGATCCAATAGCTGCACCGCACCCAAAATATAGGGGTCGACGTCGTCAGACGGTCGTCGTCAAGGTCTGTTGGTCAGTCAGCCAGTTCAGGCTTGGACTTCCTTGACTGACTCGGCCCTGTTCCCTGTGCCACTGTCCCATCCCAATTTCTCAATCATACAGAGAAGTCGAGTCACATCCAATCTCAATCTGAATCGTGAAATTGTGGATTCATGTGGAACCGTCATATTTTTGAGCTGCAGTTGCGTCTTCAATAGCTCTGCAGATTCTGGTCCAAGGATGATAGCACAGCTGCGAACAAGACTTTCAGGCAGCATCGCCTTAGATATTGCAGAAGCCTTTTGACCGTCGTGTCGTGTCGTGCTAAAAGCTTGGAGACCAAGCTGCGTTTACCACACAGCTTGCAGCATGGCACTTAAACGCCGGACTTGCTCGAAGCTAGTAAAGCCACACAAGCCCGAGCCAGTCAAACGATTGGTCCATCTATGGTTTACTGGTCTATTGAACTATTGTTGAAGTAGTACCTGGGCCTGGACCTGCGACCGTCAGATTAAGAAAAACCTAGTCACCTAGTGTCACCCGGTCACCCAGTCAAAGGTTTTCAACTGCCTCAAGACCAAATGGCACTGTGTTTGAGCATCCTGGAGGCAAGCAGCGACTTCAGTAAGCTTTGCAAACTGTAGAGCTTTCCGCTCATGTTTTGGTCCTCATGGATGTTGATCTCCTGGGCATGACGTGACAGTGGCACAAAATTCAACTCCACATAGCTCACTGCCGTGGTCACGTTCTAGATCCATCCACAGGACATAGCTCATACACCGTCTGCAGCGGAATTTCATACTAGCTAGTAGCTAGCAATGCTATTACCAGCCCGGTCCCACATGGCTGCATTCCCTTCAGAAACTTAATCCCGGGTGCCGGTCCGGTCATGCTCCTGTCCGCCGTGTCCTGTCCCCGTCATTTTGTTCCCAGCCAGCACGCCTTGCATTGATTGCCCCGTCGCCGCTTCTGTGGTGGTGGTCCATCAACGCTCCCGGAATCTAGGATAGAAGCCAATGCAGCAAGCGCGATCTCCGCTTGAACTGTCTGTTTGGCATTTGCAATCTCTTTCACGGCAGCACGGATTTGCGAAATGGCTTTGAGCGCTTCGCCCATTTCACCCACCCGTCACGTGTGAGACTGTGGCTGTGGCACGGCAGTGGTGTCCTAAATCTTTGAAAGTCTCGTTTCTTTTGGCATATGGTTTTCCACTGAAGAGGGAATGGCCATCATGCATGCCATGACTGGGAATTGGCTTGGCAACTCATAGCCACTGGGTAGTGACGGGTGAGTATAGTTTTTGGTGTTGGATAGTTTCATAATTGAAATTGAAAAGTGACGTTTCCCATTGCCGGCGCCTGTCCGAGCAAATCATTGAGGGAACGGAGCTGACAACATCTTTGCGAGAAAAACAGTTTGAACACACTGGACACTCATTCCAAACCCATCCCATCACTCTCTGGGACTGCATGCATTCATGTCCCGTTAGATAGTGTGGTAGTGGTGGTAGTAGTAGTAGTGGTGGTGGTGGTAGTAGCAGTAGTAGCAGTAGTAGTAGCAGCAGCAGCAGTAGTAGTAGCAGTAGTAGTGGGAGTAGTGGTGGTGACCAACCAACCTGACCCGCTGGTTTTCACGCAATCCGCGCAGTTTAGGGGGTGCCAGTGCCACAAAGATATTACTGTAGTTGAGACTTGAGATATTAAGACATAAAACTCATAGGAATCCCCAAGGTCCTTAGAAGGCATCATTCACGGCTACCATGGCCTCGCACAGCCTGTCACCTGTTTGCTGTTGGTAACCTCACTGAGGTTGGATTCCGGGTGACTTTAGGTGGGGGTTGGTTGGTTGGCTGTGGCTCTTGACATTTTGGTATCCAAAAGGCCAGGCTCTAAACCTGAAGATTGCCATTGCGACCGTTGCGGCCAGGGAACTTTACTTTGACAGTTCTGGTGCCCCTCCCATCCTCATGTTGTCAACAAATCTTTGCAGAGGTAGGCCCAGAGTCTGAGTTCAGAGTACGATAATTTATGTGATTTTTTTTATGGTGCAGTGCAGTGCAGTGCCGCCCTAGGCAACCTGTTGATATCACAAGGGTGTCACAAAGCAACGTTTTGGGTCGGTCTTTGATGATCTTCTATTTGCAGCGCTAGTTGGGGTAGATAAAGGGAAAGGTAGTGTAGTAGTGAAACGCGTGCTAGGCATGCCCCGCCGATCCTCATGATCCTCCTACCTCCTGCTCGAACGCGTTGAACTGGTTAGTTAAGCTGTTAAGCAGAAGCTAGATCTACATTCGGCCCACGCCCACGCTGCCAATCCTCATTGTGTCCTCGTACTCCTCTTTAAAACCTCCTGCTCCTGAACTCCGGGCCATCAATGGGATGCATGTTACATTAGAGCACGCTCCTCCTCTTCCTCCTCCTACTCATCATCATCCTCATTCTCATCCGGGTTGCAAAACCGCGACAGAGTCAAGTGCATCAGCTGGCGGGGCGGAGGCTGTCCAGGTTTGTGTAGTCTTGGAGCGCAGTCGCGCGGTCAGTCATCGTCGTCGCAGTAGTGGTAGTAAGGTAGTAGTAGCAGCACTAGTCGTCGTCGTCGTCGTGGCGGTGGTAGTAGTAGCAGTCGCAGTAGCAGTGGCACGAGTAGCAGTCGCAGTAGTGGTAGTAGATAGTAGGTAGTAGATAGTAGGTAGTAGGTAGTAGGGGTAGTAGGTAGTAGGTCGCACCGTCGCACCCGTCTAAACCCATGGTTTTCACTTAATTATTGTACCGTGGTTTCTGGGGGCCACAAAATGACGTTGAAACGCTTATGCACATGAAGGCCCACCCCCGCGCAAGTTAACAGTAGCGTCCTTGCTCCTAGTAGCGATGCCCTTGTTAACTAGTAGCT